CCATCCTCTCTCCTTCCCTGCCGCCACCACCTCTGTATTTTGTCCTGTGTTCTGTGTTCTGGTCTCCATACCGCTGCTGGGAATTCTCCAGAGTTGGCCTGGGCCTTAGTCTTCTTTGCTCCGAGCTTCCCACTACTCACTCTCAAAAGACATTCGTCCTCATTAGGCCAAGGTTCCTCCTGTCCCCCTTTGCTGCCCTCCAGCCACACTGGCCTCCTTCCTGCCCAAGACTGTTGTGGCTCTCTATGCGTCATTCCCCTACCCCTTTGCCTTGCCACCAAGGGTGACTGCTAGGTAACATTCACCCCAACGGTAATTAAATCTCTCCCTATATCTCCCCACTAGACAGTGAACTAATTCCGTGATAACCTTCCTTGCAGCCCACCAGGGTGGGTTAGATGCATGCATCCCCATTTTATAGGTGAACAGACATGCACAGAGAGGTGAGGAGCTGGCCTGAGGCCACACAGCTAAAGAGTAGTGTGTCCCGTGTCACAGTGAGCCACGCTGACCCCACGGGCAGGGCCAGGGCGAGAGGTCACCATGGGGGCACTGTGGGGACGCCAGGGCTCCGACCAGAAGAGATAGCTTCGCCCGCTGGTCTTTCCGTGATGTTCACACTGGGCAGCGCCGCGGCAGGGACAGCGAAAGAGCCGGTGACTTTGGCCAGGAAGTCACTAGACACCGGGGAGTCCAGCTCGGGCCAGATCAGCGCCAGCCTCGCAGGCTATGGGCTGGCTCCTGCCCCCTCACTTCGGAAGCTTTCACTAACCACGGACTCCAGGAAAAGCTGTGAAAGGTGGTTGGTCACAAGCTGGGTTCCCAGTTAAGGTTCGCGTGTGTGGTTTATTTTTACTCGGAAACGTTTCCCACCAACCTGAGGCCGCCACCTCGTTACACTTTTATAATCGGCGGCCTCTCCAGGGGAGGCGCGCAAATCCTCGGACGAGGCTGTACCGCGGCTGTACCGTTTGAGTTTGGGGAGAGGGCGTTTGCATTTTTATGGTGGAAAAAAAAGAGTAGTGTGGTTGGCATTAGAACCAAAGTCTGGGGCCTCTGACTTCGTGGCTTGCCTGTCCTGCCTTGGTCCAACCTCTTGGAAGGCTTGAGCCTTCCAAGCTGGGAGTCTGAAGCACCTTTCCAGGAGCCGGGGGGCCACTCTCTCCCTTGGTCACTTGAGCCCCAGTACTCAGCAGTTTCTGTTTGGCAGCCTGAGAAAGGGGGTTGGGGCTCATCTGAATGGGGCTCTCCTTTACCTCCATTTGGTGCCTCGGTTTTCCCTACCTCCTCACACAGGGCCAGCTACTGGCCCACCCAGCACTGTTGGAGCTCAGGAAAGGTGCATTTCTTTCTAATGGGATTTCCTGTCTCTGCCTCCCTCCTCTGGTTGCCCTAAGTGATTTTTTGTGACAATGAGAAGGAGGGCACAGCCTAGGGAAATCACAGATTGCAGTGCCCAGGCAGACCTGGTTTGAATCTTGTCCCTACCACTTACTCACCAATGACTTCAGAACAGTCCTGAACTGCCACATGACCTCCAAGCTGACTATTGGGAGTATGAAATCCTCTCCAGAGGTTTACTAACAGGATTCGGGGAGCTCATGCAGGCAGGTCCCCTGCATCTCCCTCCGGTTCTGCCAGATGAAGCAACTCAGTGAGTTCAGATTGAGTTTACAGAACCACTTTGGCCTTATCAGCATCTGTTTACAAATAGAGAAGTAGAGGTTGGGAGCTCCTGATCCCAGGAGTGAGTCAGTTCTGGAACCAGTACTCAACCTGGCCCCGAAGTGTACCTCTGAGCCCATGGGTTTGTGGCTGCTTTTATTCTCTAGGCAGCCTTTTCAGAGTGAACTCAGTGTTAAAAGACAAAGCCCAAGTCTCCACTGTGTCCCAGTGCTCAACCCAGGGAGGCAGGTCAGAATGGACTTGCTATAAGGAATGGTAGCTGAGAAAGCTAACTGGGGAATGAGGGAACACTAGCTGGGGGCTCTTGTTAGTTCCTGCCCCAGGGCCTTTGCCGAACTCCTTTTTTGTCATTTCTCTTCATCCTTCTCACCTGCCTCTGTGCTGAGGGCCTCTCTTCTTTTCCCTAGCTTGCTTATTCAGGACCACTGTAGAATTGCAGGGGATACTCTTACACCTGGAGGCACTTTTAAAGCCACATCATCCCTTCAGTGACCTTTTATGATTGCCCCTAGAACAGGGGTGGGAACATCCAGCCAGGCCAGGTAAGACCCACGAAATCATTTGGTCTGGCCCTGCCAAGGCATTAGGGTTGAGTTAATTAAATGTTTGACCAAATATAGTGGGCTAATTTTTAAGTGGATAATTTTGTGTGGTCCGAGATTGATGTTCCATAAATATCCAAGTGGCTCTTGGCAGGAAAAAAGGTCTCCACACCTGCCCTAGAGTATGGGACACACCCCTCCCATGTGGCCAGTTCTCCTGGGTTGGAATATGCACGGACCGAATAGGCTCTGGCTCAGAAGTGCACACTTTTTAGAGGTTCCTGGCCCCCAACCCCCATGGTCTCCCCACTCACTGATCAGGATAGGGGTTGAACTTCCATGAGCAAGATCACAGGCAGATCCTTAAATTTACATTTCTTTTCTACCCCAACACTTTAGGGTTAATTTGCATAAATTAAATGTGGGGTATGATTTTACACATTTTTTAAAAATATTTTTTTATTGATTTCAGAGAGGAAGGGAAGATAGAAACATTAATGATGAGAGAATCATTGACTGGCTGCCTCCTGCGCACCCCCTACTAGGGATGGAACCCACAACCCAGGCATGTGCCCTTCGCCGGAATCGAACCTGGGACCCTTCAGTCCGAAGGCAGACACTCTATTCACTGAGCCAAACTGGCTAGGGCTGATTTTATTTAAAAATATTGTTTAGTTTTGCAAATAGGCAATACATTCACCAGGTTAAAAATTCAAAAGACCCGTAGAATGTACCTGGCACGTCTCATCCCCGGTTCTGCCCGGAACATGGTGTCAGTTTTATAGAGGTGCACATGCCGTGTAGTTTACCCTTTAAAGTGTGCCATTCTGTGCTTTTTAGTATAGTCACAAAGTTATGCATCCATCATAATTTTAGAACATTTTTCATGAGGTCAAGAGGAAGCCCTGTAAATTGGGTTCTTGGACTCAAATAATTACACTTGGGGTATAGAGATTGGGCTTCCCCACACCAACAAAAATTCTCAGACACCAAAAAAGTGTCCGAGAATTCAATTCTATTCTTTTTTTTTCTTTTTTTTTTTTTTCAATTCTATTCTGACATTACCTGGAAATTGCTTCAGAGTCCACAGGCTCAGTTCTACAAGACTGCCCCACCAACACACTTCTGACACCAGTCCCAAGCCAGGGTTACCATGCTTCTGCTGACTGGCCACAGAAACTTCTCTTTTTGCTCAATTAATTTCTTAGAGCTGCTCATAGAACTCAGAGAAACATGTCACTTAACTAGATCACTGGTTTGTTGTAAAAGGCTATACCTTAGGAACAGCCAGATGGAAGAGCTGCATAGGGCCAGGTAAGTGGGAAGAGATCCCATGCTTCCAGGCCCTCTCCTGACAAGCGACTCCAAATCTCCATAAATAGACTGACCAATGGCATCACTGCCTGCTGGTGATTGGGTCCATTCTCTCCCCTCCCCAGAGGTGGGGGGACTGAAAGTTCCACCCCTCTAATCACATGTGTGGGGCCTTTAGCAACTAGCTTCCATGAAGGTGCTTCCAAAAGTCACCTCCTTAACATAACAAAAGGCCACTCAGCACTTAGGAAGTTCCAAGTGTTGCTAGAGCTGTGAATCAGGAATTATGGATGAAGACCCAGTGTATGAGATAGATATTTTGGTCATCCTTTTGTCTGGCTTCTTGAATTTAGCATAATGTTTTTAGTTTCGTCTAAGTCAGTGGTCCGTGGACCACCAGTTGGTGACCGCTGGTCTAAGTTATGGCATGTACTGATTCTTTCCTTTTTATGGCTGAATAATATTCCACTGTATGGATGTACCACCTTTTGTTTATCCATCACTTAATGGACATTTGGATTGTTTGCCCCTTTGGGCAATTGTGGATTGTGCTGCTGTGAATATTCACAGTTTTCTCTGTGGATATATGTTTTCACTTCTCTTGGGTATAATTGTGAGAAATGGAATTCCTGGGCCATATGGCACCTACATGCTTAACCCATTTGAGGACCTGCCAAGCGGTTTTCCATGGCAGCTGCACAACTTTGCATCTCCACCAGCAGTAGAGGAGGGTTCCAACTTCTCATCCTTGACAGCACATGTCTTTTTTCTTCTACCCGACTTAGTGGGTATGAAATAGTGTCTTGTTGTGGTTTGGATTTGAATTTCCCTGATGACTAGTGGTATTCTTCCTCAGTTTCAGGGGTTCTTGTCATTTAGTCATTCAACAAATAGTGGTTGAGTGTCATGTGCTCAGCACTGGGGAAAATGGGGTGACTCTACCCTCTGGGAGTTTCCTTGCCAGTGCCCTTCTGAGTTACCCTATGCATGGATGCCTTATGCTCACTGTATTAACTCATTTTCTATTTAAGCACCTGTGTGTAAGTTTGCCTTTCCCCCTTCTCTGCAAGAAACACCATGTGGCCACCCTGTCCTGTAGCCGATATGGCTGATTTGACAGTCTGTCCTAAAGGAATGGAAGGAGTGGATCCTGTGATTCTTTTATTTATTTATTTAATATATTGTTTATTGATTTCAGCGAGGGAGTGGGATAGAAACATCAATGATGAGAGAAAAATCATTGATTGGCTGTCTCCTGCATGCCCCCTAATGAGGATTGAGCCTGGAACCTGGCATGTGACCTCCTGGTTCATAGGTTAATGCACAACCCCTGAGCCACACCAGCCAGGCAACTGCAGTTCTTAAGGCCCCAGCGAACCCACCGTCTGGATGTCGCTGAGAACAGGCCTGAGCATGCCACCTGACCCATCTCTCTGTCTTCCCCTGTCCCCCGCACAGCTGCCACCATGGCCCAGACCCTGCAGATGGAGATCCCGAACTTCGGCAACAGCATTCTGGAGTGCCTGAATGAGCAGCGGCTTCAGGGCCTGTACTGTGATGTGTCAGTGGTGGTCAAAGGCCATGCCTTCAAGGCCCACCGGGCCGTACTGGCTGCTAGCAGCTCCTACTTCCGGGACCTGTTCAACAGCAGCCGGAGCGCTGTGGTAGAGCTGCCGGCGGCTGTGCAGCCCCAGTCCTTCCAACAAATCCTCAGCTTCTGCTACACGGGCCGGCTGAGCATGAATATGGGGGACCAGTTCTTGCTCATGTACACGGCTGGCTTCCTGCAGATCCAGGAGATCATGGAGAAGGGCACTGAATTCTTCCTCAAGGTGAGCTCTCCCAGCTGCGATTCCCAGGGCCTACATGCCGAGGAGGCTCCATCTTCCGAGCCCCAGAGCCCTGTGGCTCAGACATCGAGCTGGACGGCCTGCAGCACCCCGTTGCCCCTGGTGTCTCGTGTCAAGACAGAGCAGCAGGAGTCGGACTCTGTGCAGTGCACGCCTGTGGCCAAGAGGCTGTGGGACAGCAGCCAGAAGGAGGCCGGGGTTGGCGGCAGCAGTGGTGGCAATGGTAGCCGAAAAATGGCCAGGTTCTCCACATTGGACCTGGCCGCCAACCGGCCACCTCAGCAGGCCTTGGCTGCTGCAGCGGCGGCGGCAGCAGCAGGGGGCGTGGTGAGCGGGCCCAGCATGTCCGAGCGGACCAGCCCTGGTACCTCGAGCGCCTATACTAGTGACAGCCCAGGCTCCTATCACAATGAGGAGGACGAGGAGGAGGATGCGGGCGAAGAGGGCACAGACGAGCAATACCGGCAGATCTGCAACATGTACACCATGTATAGCATGATGAATGTTGGCCAAAGTGGTGAGGCGCCCACTCCTCCCCTCCCCCACCCCCCCATCACCACCCCTACCCATGACCCCCATTCCCAACACATACCACTCTCTCCCCCCACAGCTGAGAAGGTGGAGGCCCTCCCTGAGCAGGTGACCCCTGAATCCCGGAATCGCATCCGGGTGCGGCAAGACTTGGCGTCTCTCCCAGCCGAGCTCATCAACCAGATCGGTAACCGCTGCCACCCCAAGCTCTATGATGAGGGCGACCCCTCTGAGAAGCTAGAGCTGGTGACAGGTAGGCTGACCTTACTTGCTCCCCAAATCCCCCTCTCCCCCCACCCTTGGCCTCAATGCCCTCTGGGCTGCTGGCCTGTAGCATAGCCCCTGGCTTTGTCCTAGGGTAGCTGACACCCCTCTGTGTTGATACACATCAAAGATTGGCCTCTAGGGTTTTGCCCTGGAGGCAGATGTAAGCATTAGGGGACATCATGGCCATAGGCAGTGGATGAGTGGCTTCTTAGGGTGATCTGAGGGTTAACTACTGAATGGTTAAGAATTTGGCACAGAATCAGTGTGCCTGGGTGCAAGCCTCTGCTGCCTGCTCTTTCTAACTCATAGCTGGTTGTGCTGGCAAAAGCTACACATGTACTAGGTGGGCCTGGCACATTGTAGGTGCCCCGTGGGCAGCGGTACCACCATCTGTCCTTTTCTGAGCGCTGATGAGGCTGCCCTGGGGTAAGTTGTCGGAGAGGGTCTCTGGAGCTCCGAGAAGTGGGCCTGGCCACATGGGGAATGTGGCAGTTTAGGGCCTGACCACCCTCCGTCTCCTCCTTCTAGGCACCAATGTGTATATCACAAGGGCACAGCTCATGAACTGCCATGTCAGTGCAGGCACACGGCACAAGGTCCTGCTGCGGCGCCTCCTGGCCTCCTTCTTTGACCGGTGAGGCCCTTTCCAAAGCCCGGGGAGTAGGGAGCTGCCCCATGCCCCCCACCACCACAGGGGATCTGATTCCTCCCCCATGACCTCCCCCCCAGGAACACACTGGCTAACAGCTGTGGCACTGGCATCCGCTCTTCCACCAACGACCCCAGACGCAAACCGCTGGACAGCCGCGTCCTCCATGCCGTCAAGTGTGAGTGTCTGGCTTTCTGGAGGCGGGCTGGGTGGGGTAGGCCCTGGGGTGAGCAGATGGTCCTTTTCTCTGGTGTTGGCCTTGATAGCTGGGTATGGTTTGTTAAGGATCTGAGGTTCAATTGAGGCTTGTTGGGAGGAGGGCTATGCTGCTTAGAGATTTCTTCGGGGGGGACGGGGCAGGGGTGACAGGGCACTGAAGGGAAGCCTGTGTCCGATGGGAGGGTAGGGAGGATCTTCAAACTCAAGGTAGTTATGAAGCAGCCAAGCCCCAGCCAGTTGTCGGGAGAGAACTCTAAGTTTGCAGGTGGAAGGAGTCTCCTAGTTCCTAAATTCTGCAAATAATCCACATTTTTCAAAACCACTGGGCCACCTTGTCAAACCCACATATGTCCTACATGTGGCAGAGCTTAGTGAAGCATGGAGCCAGCTAATGTGATCTTGCATGTTCTCTGCAATACCTCTGTTCTCTCACCTCCAAGAGGGGTTCCACTGTGTCCTGGGGGTGGGGGTGGGGGTGGGGGTGAAGGTGGGGGTGGGGGGAGTCGGGACAGGCATGGCCAAGGGCCTTTTGGCGGTGTGGGAGGCAGGGCCACCTAGGCCTGAGCTGTCCACTCCCCACACAGACTACTGCCAGAACTTTGCTCCAAACTTCAAAGAGAGCGAAATGAATGCCATTGCGGCCGACATGTGCACCAATGCCCGCCGCGTCGTGCGGAAGAGCTGGATTCCCAAGGGGAAGCCGCCTGAGGGTGATACCTACACCACCTTCATCAGTGACACGGGCAAGCTGGAGCCGGACATGATGGGCGTGGAGCACAGCTTTGAAACAGCCAGCCATGACGGCGAGGCTGGCCCCTCAGCCGAAGCCCTCCAGTAACCCCCACCAAGCCCTCCATGAGGCCGTCACACTCCCCCTCCTGTCACCCACCCACCCACCCACCACCTTGGTCACGAGCTACTGTCTGTCCCTCCCCAGGACCCGCAGGGTGTGCTGCATGCTCCAGCCCCTCGGCCTCCCGTCCCACCCCTGACCCCAATCCGAGTGGGCTGGGAGAGGGTGGCCGTGGTGCGAGCTCTGCGTGGCCTTCTCTCTCGCACACAGTCAGGGAGTACTCGCTCCCCCCTCTCCTAACCCCTAGCAATTGTTTTCCCATTCCACTCAACCAGGCCGGGCAGGGGAGGGGCAGTCTAGGGGCAGTCTTCTGCTCCACCCTTCACTGCAGCCCCATGGGACTTGCAGGGGCCCTGGGGTGCTCAGGACCCCTCCTGCCACCACCTCCCAGTGCTTCCATGTTTCCAAAAGCGCCTTCCTGTCTCCTTCGTCTGTCCCTGCATCTGGGGCTGGGGTAGGCGAGGCTGTGGGGACTGCTCTTGTGACGGCGGAGGAAACCTGAGGCTCAGAAATTACACGACTGACCTAAACCGACCTAAGGTGGCAGGCGGTGGTGCACCCAGCACCCTTCTCTCTCCCCCACCCTGTACTCAGCCTGTCTCGCTCCATCAGGCCCCTCAGACCTGAGTGAGGGGCACAGACCCAGAGTTTCTGAGGATAGGAGGAGAGGTTTTGGAGGCCCACAGGTGCGTGTGCGTGTGAATGTGGAGAAGTTTTGCTTTAAAATAAATGAAGATGAGAAAGGCAGTGGAACCAGGGGAGCATGCTGGCGGGCTGCTGCCCTTCCCTCCCTCCCCACCCCATCCCACGGCAGGGCTCCCAGCTCCCATCCCCTGTACATACTTTTTAAAACATTTTTTTAGCTAATGAAATATTGAAGTATAAGATTCCTTTTATTTTTCAAACCAATGGGACTGTGTCTGATGTCCCCTTTGGTCCCTGGGGGCCATGGAAAGTAGGATGGGGTGAGGGGTGCAGGAGTAGGCTGAATGTGTGCGTGCATGTAGAGTATGGGTGCACGTTTCCAAGGTGGGACCCCAGACCCAGCCATTGCCTGGGCTACATTTGAAGGATATCCCTGGTCTTGGCCTGTTGGCAGAGCCCAGCTCCTGGGGACAGGGCAGGACCCACTGCATTTGTTAGCAGTTGTTTGCTGAATTGTCTCTAACCATTCCTCTCTTTGTAGCCTCATCCAGTGTGAGTGATTTTTTTTTTTTTTTTTTTTGAGTTTTACATGTGAACCAGAGGGTTCTTTTTTCTTTTTCTTTTTTGCTCCCCATCCCCCTGTGCTGCTGGGTGTCATTTGACATTTTTTGTCTAGCCTTTTTCTCACCTTTCGCCTCACCTCTCTTCTCACTTCTGGTCTCCTCCCAAGTCTGACAGCCTATGGCTTCCAGAGGCAGGAGCTTGCTAGAGGTGGGTGGGGCTATCCCAATGGACCCTTGGAATCTGACTTGGAGGCCCCATCCCCCACCCTGTAGCCCCTACCAGCCTGTGGGAAGGGGGTCCCTCCAGCATCTGTTTGTGGAGTTGGAGGTGTCCGGTCTGGCTGTGATCCTGGCACTCCTCTTTCTGGCCCAAGTGTGTGTGTGTGGGGTGGAGGCAAGTGTATGAGGGGGGAGTTGACACCCCCAGCTAAAGCACAAGCACCTTAGTCGCACCTCCCCTGCCCCTCATCCTGGCCTTGACACTCTACCCCAGCGTCATCCCAAAGCACAATATCCCGGTCACTTGGTGGGCTCCTGGGGCCACAGAGGGGTGGGCTGGGGTTCCAGCCAGCCCCCAACGGAAGCAGGAGTCCCTGAGTACTCCCCCTTCCAGGCCTTAGCTGGGGGCCAGCTCCTGGGACTGGTGTCCTCTCCCTCCCCACCCTTTTTCTGGGCAGATCCCTGCCTAGTCCCCCTCCCTGTCTTGTCTTCAGGCAGGGCTTGCCCCTGTCCTTCTTCCGTACCCTTGCAGCACTGGGTTGGGTGGCAGAACCCCTTGTTTCAGGGACCCCAGGAGGTGCCCCTGGCTCCAGGGGACTGTGTGTGGGTGGTGGGGGAGGGGGGGTTGAGGGGCAGGGGGTGGAATTCCTCACCAGGAGAGCCAAAGACAGGGTTGTGCCTTACCCCAGGAGCCACCCCTGTGCCCATCCACCCTGCCCTTTCAGGTGGCCTGCTGCTTTTCCTCCCCTCCTGACCCCCCCCCCCCCCCCCCCCGCCCCAGCCCTGCTCTGAGCTGCATGGTTCCCACCCCCACCTGGACAGCCAGGAAGGAGCATGAATGGAGAATCACCAACGCAAAAAAGACTGGAGGCCTCTGGCCACCCCTGTTCCCGTAGGACAGGCCAGCTGCTGTGTCCACGTGGAGTGCCAACACCTGCCCTTCTCCGGGCTGAGCCCCCCACCCCCACCCCAGCCTGTAAGTGAGATTGCACATTAACTACTGTAAGGAGAGGAGCGCACTGGGAAATGTGAACATGAGAACATCAGTAACACTGATGAGAATAAACTAAACGCCTTTGTAACAGCCCTGCAGCATGCTACTCACTGGGGGGCAGAGGGTTGTAGTGGCTGGAAGAGATGCTGCACACTGGGTTCTCATTCTGCAGAGCGACACCCCCTGCTCAGGACTCACTGACAAACGCAGCAGGGTGCACTTGGGAGTGGCCATGCCAAATGTCACATGACAGAACATCCATCATGTGAGGGGGGCGGGGCAGCATGTTCCTTTCCAATGGTAGCAGGTACAGACCCAGACCACCAGTGGGTTCCACTTACAACACCCTTCAGGCTACCTCGTGTAGACTCAACACTGCCCAAGGCTGTTCCTGCACACACGGCCCCTGCATGGGAGTTCCTCCAAAGCTAGGAGGGTAGAGGCTCCCTTGAATGGGCTACTGACCCACTAGCTGCCCTGTGGTCTGACACCCCCCATCCCAGACACACCCCACACCATTCTGAGTCAACACAAAAGTTGAGATGGCAAACCTAGCTATAGATCCCGAGGATATGAAATGACAAAAGGTTCTATGGAGCCAAATAAAGACATGTAAGTGCCTTAGGATCCCATTTATTCAGTCATTTCAAACAGCCTGGGAAGGGTAGTTACCTATCAGGGATCCCATTGGTCAACAAGAAATCTGCTGGGAGGTGGACAAGGAAGCTACATCTCCGCCCAGGCCAGCTCCTTCCACCCATGATACAAGGGAATAATGTCCATGGGAACGATGACTAATATGCTTCAGGTTGACCCTTGCAGTCAAAAATCCACGTAGAACGTTTGACACCCCCAAAATTTTACTAAGCCTAGTCTTGACAAGAAGAAGCCTTACCGTTAATATAGTCAATGAGCACCTATTTTGTATAGGTACCATATAATGTATTACAATAGACAAAAAAAGGTTAAAGTTATAAAGAATATACATTTAATAGTGTTTATTTTTAAAATCAGCATATAAATGGACTGCACAGTTTAAACCTGTGTTGTTCAGAGGTCAACAATACTACAATTCACAGGATGAACTGGGTATGTCTCAGTAAGACCAGCCCATTTGGGGTCCTGAAGTCCAGCATCAGCTGTCAAAGGGGTTTTGAGGACCAACAACATTGCCAACAAAAATTCAGAGGTGATGCTGCCCCAGAAATTCAGAGTGATGTGCCACCTGACTCCCAGAAGCACATCTTTTAACCCCAGAAAGACTTAGAACTGAGTATAGAATGGGCCAAGAGAACCCAAACCATCACATAAAAAAGGAGTCTGTACATACTTGGTTCTTTTTTGACTAACTGGCCTGATAGAGTAGCATCCTCGTAACATACAGCACTCCAGAGCGTGTACATGAGTGAGTGAGATTCGTGGTTCCCACGCCTGATTAATGTGGGGGATGGAAAGGTCTGATGATAATCTAAGGTTCACAGTGCTTACAAGTTTACCCAGCTTATACAGGAATCATTTCATACTCAGGAAGGCTCTATGGCAAAGCCCTTAAATTTACAAACGCTGCCCTGTTAGAGTGATGCATCACAGAGGGAACTAGAAACCAGCTGTGCAGTGGAGCCCAGCGTTACTTGGAGGCACCTCAGAAGTGACCACTCAGCTCCATGGCTAAGCCATTTACCTACTTTGGGTACAGAACAGGCAAAATATGTTTAGGTTGAACTTCAAACGCTCAAGAAACATTCATGGTTTAAAATTTTCAGTGGCAATAAAATTATCCATCATGAAAACCAAGAAATTAACCAGAATAGTCTTTTCTGCACCTAATACTTACTGGCCACTGAAATCCCTAGCACACACACATGCGTACACACACGCACACACCTGTGCGTGGAAACGAGGTTTAGAGTTCCCACTCAGGAAGCAGCCACTAGTTTAGAGTCAACATACCATATGATCTAAATACGTATAAAAAAGGCTGGGATTTTATTTCCAAGTTGGCACATGTAGAAGGCATAGGGGTGAATAAATGGCTTTGGGACACTGGAAACAGAAATGGGGCAGGGTGTATCTGAGGTCCTCCTACCTCCACCACCCCCTAAGTGCACTTGAGAAAGGACCAGTGGCAGGGGCTCCAACCAAGGGCCCTGAAGGTCCCACTGGCTCTTGAGAGCCTTGGGACAACTCCCCAGACATGACACCCTCCTCCCAGGGGGCAGGGCCCTACCAGCTCCCCCAGCTTGAGGGATCAGCCCCCTGGGAGAGCCAGGATCAGAGAGAGAAGAGCAGGATGAGAATCAGGAGAAGCACCCCCAGCAGCACCACAATCGCACACCACTGTCGGCGGTCTAGGGGTGAGAGGGTCAGACGTCATGAGGGAGGCAGCACCACCCCATGCCTCCACACCCCCCCTCCCCCGCAAGTTGCCTCCCCCAAGAGAACTCACCACTTGTCATATGGGACACTTTGGCCATCTTTCTGAGAACCCCATCCATCCGGGATTGGGTGTGGTCCATCTCATGAGCAAAGGTGTCCAGCATGCTGCCAAGACCAAGATGGTGTAAGCCCTCGAAGGGCAGCCGGCCTCAGGCTCCCGGCCCACCCTGGGGGTCCTGGCCTCACATGCCCTGCTCATCCAGCTCCTCCCCAACGCGGCTGGACATGTGTTTCAGAACCCGGATGCTCCCAGACACCATTTCCAGCTGTTGATCCTGTTGGTCCATGATCAGCTGCAGAATGGAGAGGTGAGAACTGCCGTCATCAGGGAGGCCTGAGCTCCTCCAGCCCATGACTGACCAGCCACACAAACCTGCTGTGTGGCCTGCTGCTCCTCAATGTAGCGAGAGGTGACAGATACCACGCTGGCATCCAGCAGGTCACTGGACGGCTTCTGGGCAGTTGGCTTGCCCATTAGCATCTGGTGGGGCACAGAACACAAGCTCAGGGAAGGACACCCACTCACCAGAGAGCCAGACACAGGCAAATTTAGATGGTGGTTAGTCAGTAAGGCAGTGTTTGAAGTGCAATGGCCTGGGTTCCCCAGACCCACTTAACATCAAGGTGACAGACCCCAAGGCCACACCACTTGACCTCCCTGTGTATCAGTTTCCTCATCTGTAAAATGGGGAGAACTACAATCCCTGTTTGCTGAGGTTGGAATGAGAAAATTATTCCACGGAGAACACTTATCCATCTATAAATATGAAAGGCTAATATGCTAAGTACCCATCTGACCGGTACCTATGATGCACACTGACCACCAGGGGGCAGAAGCTCAATGCAAGAGCTACAGTGATGCGCACTGGCCATTTACAGAGGAACGGCACATCGACCTGGTGCCCACAAAGCAACACTCGGCTTCCCCCAAGTGGGACACAGGCCCCACCACCATCCTGGAGTGACACCCCACCAAGTAGCAGCCGACACTGCCGAGACCCCATGGCACAAAATGTGGCCCACAGCCCAGCCAAGCCCTGAAACGGTGGCTGTGGGCACCAGGTAATGATGTCACATAACAACACCCAGCTCCATCTCCCTAGCAATTAGCCACCTTGGAGTTTCTTCAGCCCAGGAGCACAGCTTGCTTTATAGCCAGGTGGAAACATTTTACACTGTAACCAAATGTCTGTGAAGCGTTTTCCTGTGCCTCATCTCATTTGATCCTCACAGAAGTCCTGGAGTAGGTAGATAGGAGACTCAGTGGAATCCTATTTTCTTTTCATTAGCCGGAAAACGAAGATTTAGAAAGCCTAGAAACTTGACCCGACTGAAAAGAAGAAATGATGAACCTTGAAAATGACTTAAGGTTTTCTCACTGCGCAGAATATAGTCAAACATTGCTGCAGTTAAATATTTCACCCTTTGTTCTCCCTGCATGATCTACAATAATAGTCTGTTCATGTTGATATTTACTGTTGTGTTGCTGACAATTACCTGAAAGAGAAATTGGGGTGCTTCACTGGGCTGGGAAAAGTTTAGCTAAATCAGAAAGCAGGTCTAATTAAGCAAGTTTATTCTACATATATAAAAGGCTAAGTTGACTCGCATATACGCGATACATATAAAACTCTCACTGGGGCCAGTCGCACATGTGTGTTTCAATCTGTCATTGTCAATTGTGAATTTGGTTGACACTTCTATTATAGAGAAAGGGCGAATAGCGACATTAAAATATTTCTTCTTCCTTTCAATGTGCACGAATTCATGCACCGGGCCACTAGTTACCATATAAACAAGTGTATGTAAGAATTTGGACTTTAATCCCCAAGGCAGCATATCAGGAAAGCACATAGGCACTGCTACAGGACTCCAAGCTGGTGTGGGCCTCAGCTCCCCCACCCTCCCAGATCCCATGTGGGCTTATGATGGGATTGGGGAGAGGCTGGTGGTGTCACAACATACAAAGAATGGGCATACTACACAGAGGGGAAAGGTGTACAGACAGGCAGCAGGAAGCATTCAAACAAAAGGCATGTGCAGGCACACACACAAAGCAAGCACACCCATGGGGGTGGGGGGGTAAGGTGTGCATGCACAAGGCAGATAAGATACACTCAGAGGCCAAGTTTACACACTCAGATAGGTCAAGAGCATACACAGAGAAAAAAAAAGTAGGCATTATGCTGGAAACAGTAAACACAAAGAAAGGGGATAGGTATACAGACACCACTCACCCCCCACCCCAGGAAACCAGTATAGACCTCCAGGACAAGGCAGAGGGAGTATTATACAATCAGTGAGGGCTCAGGTATACACACACAGAAAGCAGGCAGGTAGACAGCCAAGAGGACTGCACACAAAGAGGATGGGCACTGACATACAGGGCCAGACGTACACTTTCCCAGGGAACAAGCAAACACGCACTGAGAGGCTCACCCTGAAAAATGATTCGGGTCAGGTCAAGATGCCTTACCTCTCTATTATTTCTCTCCATGAACGCAACGGCTGCTGGGCTGACCATATGGTCCTTCATTTCCTGGGGGTGAGGACAGCATCAGAGAGTAAAGACGCCCCAACCTCCACCCTTACCCCATCATAACCTCCTCTCACCTGGACCGCTTCGCGCATCCGCTCCACGAAGACCTTTCTCT